TGTAAGTTCAAAAAAAATAAGAATGTGTATATTTTCACGAGTTTTTACCATTCATGTTTATGTTATATAATGCCAATATATGATGACTCAATATAGGTATATTAATTAGGCTTTTAATATACATTGAGTCTTTTGTTTCTTCCTTTCTTTTTTTTTTTTTTTTTTTTTGGTTTTTTGGAAACTGGCTCTGCCTCCCGAGTGCTGGGATTAAAGGCGTGCGCCACCACTGCCTGGCGAGTTTTGTGTTTCAAGTATGCGAATGTATTTTGTTCTTAATAGCATAACATTAAAAATGTGCAAAGTAACTATCTATTTCACCTTTTAACATGTGGACATTTTCCCCAACTCTCATCTTCGGCTCACTAATTACTGAGGACTGCAATGAGAAGGACCTGGATTTGCCTTCTCTTTCCTCCTTCCTCCAAAGTCATCACACTCAGTGCCAATGGCACTGGATGCAAGATGAATAAAAGGATGTAACAGGGTTATTCATGGGATTTACAATAGCCATGGAGAGACACCTCTAGATAAGTCCGTGAGGGTTTTTCCAGCACGGCTTAATTAAGGCAAGAAGACCCACCCTGATGGTGTGTGGCACCACCTCATAGGCTGGGGTCTCATGTTATATAAGAACAGAACCAGAAGAAAGCGAGATGAGAACCAGCATTCGCCTCTCTTAGCTTCCTGACTGCGGGTGCACTATGATCGGCAGCTCTACGTTCTTGCGGCCACATCTTCCTCGTCTGGAACTGTATCGCTCCAAACCATGAGCAAAACTAACCCTCATTTCTTAAGTGGTTTATGCCATGCGCTTTGTCACAGCCGTGAGAAAAGTAACGAATACAGAAATGAGTGCTGAGAAGTGGGGCTGTTGCTGTGATAAGCCGAGCCCAGAGTTCATAAGCCTTTGAAACTGGTTTGAGCTAGGATGGTGGAAGACTTTGGAGCTGCAGGCAAGGGGACCATTCTGGTGGGCATCTGGAACATCTGGAACATCAGAATACTGAAAGAAATTTGGAGAGTGGAAGGCCAATTCATGAGATTTAAGAGGGGACCAGGACTCTATTGGGAACTGTCATTCATGTTATATTCCGACAAAAACAAAACAAACAAAAACAAAAACGAAAAAGCCCCCAAATCTGGCCATGCTTCGTTCATGTCATGACAACTTAAATGAGGCTGAATTAAACAGCGATGGACTAATATGTCTAGTGGAGGTAATGTCAAGGTAGCATAACATTCAGTCTGTGGCGTGGTCTCTGCTTCCTGATTAGCGACTGCCGTGGTGAGAGAAAGATGAAAAAGGAAAAGCTTGTGCTGTTTGGTGAGGAAAAGCGTGTGAGTTTAAGACTCTCCCCAAGGCTGGATTGGAGAAAGTCGCTGCTGTAATTGCTAAAGGGATTAGTGTCAGGAAGGTGAAGGGAGCATGTCATAAAAGCCATGAAGGTTAAGTGCAAACGGGCTGGCAACTTACCGCTGACACAGGGATGTATCCACTTCGCTCATATGCATGCTGTTTTATCACACTGACATCTTTTACAAAACACACACCTAAAGAGAAAACTATAGAGGATTTAAGATTCTTAACGCTAGAGCTTTTAATCAAGTTGCAGAGCCCTCCTGGAATAGGGTTTTCCGTGATTGTTTTCATGACTCGCCCTTGAAGACGACCCTGTACCTACTTTATTATGTTGTAAATCTCTCACATAGTACATATTGTGTAGCTAAGGTGTATTCCTCCATTTTCTTATATAAAAATACTGGATTCTCCTGGAGTAGTTATTCATACGGGAGAAACATGAGGCTCAAGGAGTGACGGAAATGACTTATATTTGACCTATCACTTTTAATAAGAGAAATAATTGGAGCTTCTCAGGTTTTCCAGAAGCTAATTTTAATCCCTTTTCACATTCATCCTGATTAAGCCATGGTGATTGATATGGTCAGTAGATGAAATAAAGGCATAAATATTCATGTGATTTACAGGGCCTTGTGAAGCTTCCTCTTAAGTCACTTTCCAGTATTCACCTGCTACATGCAGCCAGAGAGGTTTCTCCAGTCCTGCCTGACCCCATGGTTGGGACAAATCTCTCCCTGTGTCCTCCAGCCACTTGGTTCCAAGTAAACACACAGAGGCTCATATTATTTACAAACTGTATGGCCTACGGGTCAGCTTATATTAGCTAGCCTTTCAACTTCTCAACCCGTTTCTATTAATCTATATGTTGCCATGTGGCCGTGCCATTACTGGTCTGCTGGCATCTTGTTGCTCCTTGAATGGCAGCTTGGCATCTCCCTTGCTCTCCTTTCTCCTTTCACTGTATATCTTGGATTTTCCCTGCTGGCTCCATCCTGCCCTGCCATAGGCCAATGCAGCTTTATTTATTAGCTAATGGGAGTAACCCATATTCACAGCATACAGAAAGACATCACAAACTGCTGTCCAAGGAGCAACATGTAAAGCCAGGGAACACGTGGCGGTACATAGATGAACAGAAATGGGTTAATTTAAGATGAAAGAGCTAGCTAGCAAGAAAGCCATAGGCCATACAGTTGGTAATTAACATAAGCCTCTGAGCGATTATTTTATAAGGGGCTGCAGGACCTCAGGGCCATGCAGGATACAGGAAAACTTCCAGCTACAGCCACATGGTTCTTGGATCATTAGGGATTTGTTAATTTGGCTCAAAACATTGTTCTATTTTATATCTAAAATCGTTTTTATTAAGACAACTATGATATACCTTTGTGGGGTTCATTGACAATGCAAGGCATATGTGATATGAACAAATCTGGATACTAAGCACTTCTACCTCCTCAAATACTAATAATTTCTATATGTTTGGAATGTTCACATTCTTCACCGGGCGGTGGTGGCACACACCTTTAATCCTAGCACTCGGGAGGCAGAGGCAGGCGAATCTCTGTGAGTTTGAGGACAGTTTGGGCTACAGAGGGAGTTCCAGGACAGGCTCTAAAGCTACACAGAGAAACCCTGTCTCAAAACAAACAAACAAAAAAACAAACGAACAAACAAACACAACAAAAGAAAAGAAAAGAATGTTCATGTTCTTATTTTGAAATGTAGCATAGACTATTGTAACAACGCTCTTTTGTGCTATAGAAAACTAGAACTGAGTCTTCACTGTTTAGATACTGTTTACATTCCTTATAACTAACCCATTTCTATTTCCCCTCTGCCTTGTTCTTTCCTATGTCTAGTGACCACTATTCCATTCCATTCTTTCATGAGATCAACTTTTTAGTTTCTGCCAGTGAGTGAGACATGGGTAAAATCTTTGCCAAGATATATCTGATACAGAACTTTCATCCAACATCTCACAGAACTCTTAAAAGCACTGAGAAAATATTCTGATTAAAATAATTAACAATATTTAAGTTAATTCTCCAAAGAAGACATCAAGGTGGCAAATAAACATAGAGAAGATATACCGTAGTGTGTGCCAGTAAGAAAATGCTAAGTGAAGCAATGAGGTAGCTGTCTGAAGACCTACCTGTATTGTACACAGCCTACCTGTCAGAATAGCCCCATCCCAACAATGACCCTCCTGGGGGAGCCAGAGAGTATATAGGTATCTCTGAATTTTTGTTTTAGTTTTGCTGTTAACTTAAAACTGTTCCAACAAATAAAAGACTATAGGAAAAAAAAAGGATCACAACTTCCAAATTACTACACTGGGTGTGAGTGGTGTTCTTTTGGAACCCATCTCTACCTAAGCATTTTACATATGCTATCTTAATTATTTCTTGCTATCTTCATTTGATGTTGTTTGTTAATATTTTTGCTTCCCAGATTAAAAATATCTGCAAAAATATATTATTATTGCCCTGAGAAAAATTGTTGGAGTATTGTTCATTGAGCTATTCCCCAAAATTTTATGTAACAAACCATCTAAAAAACATACAGCTTTATTTATTTTTTATTATTTTTGTATTTTGAAAATATTTAATGTATGACTGTTTTATATGTATGTGCACAATGTGTGTTCCTGGTGTCTGTGGAGGTCAGAGGAGGAAGGGAGGCAGATCTCCTGGAACTGGAGTTACAAATGGTTGTGAGGTCCCATGTGGGTGCTGGGAAATAAACTTAGGTCCTCCAAAACAGCTACAAGTGGTCTGAACCACTGAGCTATCTCTTTAGTCGCTATTTATTTATTTTTAATGTGTGTGTGTGTGTGTGTGTGTGTGTGTGTGTGTGTGTGTGTGTGTGTCTTCATGAATTTATGTGGATCACATGCAAGCAGGTGCCCACAGAATCCAGAGGTTGAATTCTTTGGAAATAGAGTTACATGTGATTGTGAGCTGCTGTATGTGAATCCTGGGAACAAAACCCAGGTCTTTTGAAAGAGCAATAAGTGCTCTTAACTTGCACGGCATCTCTTCAGCCCTGAACACCTACACTATTACAAAGGCAAGAATTAATACATTTTGTTAGTGGAGCAGTGGGTAGCTGCCACCCTTCTGAGTGAGGCTGGGGTTGGTTGTGTGTGTGTTTTTTTCCTATACTCATTTTCTTTGTCCTTGAACTAGCAGCAACCTGGAGGTGTTGTTTTTATTTTTGTTCCTCATGGGAAACCATAAGACTAGGAAAACATTCATGTCATGTCATGTCATGTCTATTCATGTCGTGTCCACAAACATTTACCGGTCACAGCAAGGCCAGCATCAAGAGGCAGGAAAGCATGGTTCTCCTGCAGTGGGGTGGTATTGTAAGGAGATGTGGCATAGGGTGGGAAAGTGTAATCCTCTTAACGGAAGAGGCTCGGATTCTAATAGTCTGATCAACTTCCAGTCGCAGATAGGAAACTGAGAGAATGTGAGCAGCACTGGGCAGAGGAGGACAGATAGAGGAGATGAATTGTGCTGCCCAGATCAGAATGAGGGTCAGGTGAGGGGCTGGGAACATGAGACAGGAAAGTCATGTTCTTTCACCTCCTTTTTTACAAGCTCAGGCCAAATGGTCTATTTTGCAACTTGATTTACAGCTATCTGAGCAACCAAGGAGACTATTCTGAGAGGACAACAGCAGCCCAAGACCCTAGGTCTATTCATAACCATTGCATAACCCCAACTAAGAGTAGTTATAGGCTAAGTTTTTGGTCACTGTTCATTTGCAGCATATTTTTTATTATGTTCATTAAAATCCTGGCTCAGATCTCCTTTTCTACAGCACAAATAACATTCTAAGTAGGTTTCTTAAAAATTCCACTGCTCACAACAAGAATGCTTCTTAATTTGAGGGCTATATTTTGGATCAGGGACCAACTATTGGTTCCTCTTTTTTATTTATTTATTTATTTATTTATTTATTTATTTATTTATTTATTTATTTATTTATTTATTTATTTTTTTTGGCAAAGACTACTCTAGAAAAGAGCTACAGGCTTATTGTTCTAGCTGCCACAGATAATATGGAGTTATAGCCAAATTAATAGCGTTTCTCAGACATGTGGTTTGTAGCTTGAGGGAGATATTCTAGTTCATGCCAAGGGTAGTGACGCAGTCTGAAATAGGATCAGAGCCATGTGAGAAAAGACTTAGGGTGATAAGAAATTTAGATTTAATGTAAGATTGTTGAGAAAGGGAGGGAATAAAACACTGATTGAGTTCCCTCCCCCCGCCCCCAAATGTCTAATGGAATGAGAAGAATAGATTTGAAAGGAAACAATGGGTAGGAAGCAGAGGCACCAATTTGGAATTGATGAGGTGTTTCAGGCATCAGATAATAAGAGCAACCACATTCTTATTCCGGGGGCACTCTGCTCCTTTTGAGACCATCTGTTCGTAACATTTTCTAGCACTCCCAATTCTAAAACAACAAAATTCTGGAAGGGTTTTGATGGAAGTACCATCTGATTTTTAGATTTGTGTTGTTTCTTTAAAAATAGATATGCTTCCTAAAACGCCTGGCTTAAAAAGTAGAAAGCAAACAGCTCTGTCCTTTCCCTCTCTCTTTCTGGTTTCTGCCTCATTCTGTGTATCAGTTTAGGGGCATAAATGTATTTTATGATACCTTGGGGAAACAAGAAGGTATGCTAAGTCTGAAGTCTATAAGAAGTGAGAACTTGCTCTTATTTTTGCTTCAGGTCAATATCAGCATCTTGTCTAATGGAATGGAAGCCCCGCCCCCAGCATGGAAGAAGAAGATGGATTTGCTGATAGCCAGTCAAAAATACCTGGAACTGTACAAGGAGACCTTTAAGTCAGGATAAAGCCATAAACAGGCAAGGGATGGTAAGGCAGAGTCACAGATCATTATTATTATTATTGTAAATTGTTTAGAGTATGAGGCCAATCAACTTGAAATTTGGCAGAAAGGTCTCCCCCTGTACTCTACCTCTCATAATAAAGGTGGTCTTCCTCATGTTGGGCAGTGCTTATTACAGGGCCAGCATTCCACATTTACCCTAGCACTCCTGACTGGGGCCACTATGCAAAATGCTGCTGTCTTGGATTGAAATGCACAGAAGCATTTCCTCTGTCTCTTTATAGAGCTGTTAAGTTCCGAAGTAGGCAGTGTCTATTTCGAAGGATCTACTGTCTTTACACCATGCCCCTCACTTCCCATCCTTGAGTTTAAGTTGTGTGTAGCACAAATCCTAATTGGTCTTAATAAAAACCCAGAGCCAGATAATGGGGTAATGCTGAAAGATCAGAGAGACAAAGGATCAAGCCACAGACACCTCTCACCTCACCAGCTCCTCAGCTGAAAAGACTGAGCTCCTTTCTCCTCCCACCTTCTATTCCTCTCTCTGCCCAGCCATTACCACTTCCTCTCTCAACCTCCCTAGTGCTGGGATTAAAGGTGTGTGCCACCACTGACTGGCCTCTATGGTTAACTAGTGGCTGGCTTTGCCCTCTGATCTTCAGGCAAGCTTTATTCGTTAGCTCATACACAAAATATCACCACAGTTGTATATGCTTCTTACAACCCCACTAAGATTATGACTGTGTCTTAGTTCATTTGGGTTGCTGCAACAGAATATCATAAACTAGTGGTTTGTAGTAACAATCACTAATTTTTAACAGCCTGTAGGATGAAAATCTAAGATTTGAGGGTGACTGTGGCTTGCAGGTAATTATATTCTCACTATGTACTTGTATGAATGAATGTCAAGGGAACTTTTCATGACTTGTGTTTTGAAAATACATATTTTTATTAATTGAGAATTTTCTTTTGATGTATTTTGATCATATTCACCTCCAATCCATCCCCACCTCTCCATGTGCCAAATATCTTGTCCTCTTTTTCAGAGTCTCTTTTTTATCTGTTCAGTTTTTTTTATTAGTATATGATATTTGTGCAAAATAATGGACTTCACTGTGACAATTTCATACATGCCTATAGTGTATCTGATCACAACGGATCCCCATTACCTTCTTTGATTTCTCTCATCAAATAGTTTCTAGGATCTCTTTTTAAGGGCTTCAGTTTCATTTATAGCAGAAACCTCCTAGCCTAATTATCTCCTAAAGACCCGTTCTCTTAATGTAATTACATCCATTTTCAACATAGGGACTTTGGGAGGGACATGAGCATTCAGTCTGCAGCAGAATGGTCTCATATTTTTTTTTGGCTTGGGACAAACATCTCTGTGCACTAACTTTAACTTTGGTGAGTCTTGGGAAGCTGTCCTTGTAGTCTGTCATCTTACATAATCTTTGTATTTGTGTACATAGTTTTCCCTAAGGAAGAGCACACCAATTTGGTCATCCTTGAAAACATTATACAAGTAACATTATACAGACTGAGCACGTTTTCTTTAGGATATATATATATATATATATATATATATATATATAAACCATTAGTAAAAAAAGGCGAATTTGAACAGAGCAAAGAGGGGTATATGGGAGAGTTTATTTAGAGGGAGGAAAGGGAAAGAAGAAATGATGCAATTATAATATCAAGAAAACCCCTCAGAAATGGATAACACTTTACTTGTATAATCACCAATAGAAGAGCTGTATGGATAAGAGAAACCCCATTAATAACAACTGAACAACACAGATAGTCTCAGCATTTGTCTCCAGATTTATAAGGAAGATAACAGAGTAAAGATTTAAATTAATCCAAATTATTGCAGATGAAATAATGGGCTTCAACACACACACACACACACACACACACACACACACACACACACACACACACGCCAGCTTGATCACTACCCAAACCTTATTTTTTGCCTAGATTAAACCCAGAGATGACGGTGGTGAAACACTCTGTACTTAACAGAAATAAAAATCAACCTTACTATATAAGGTAGATCCTATGGAGTTTTTGAGACTTAATAATCCAGTCTGGAAATTCTTGGGCTGTGGTTCCAGAGCCCTTTTTATAGCACTTCCAGGTAATTTTTTTTTTTTTCACAGTGTCATGTTTACTACCTGGGCTCTCTGAATGCATCAATGTACCACTTTCCAACCAGATGATCCCAAAATAATAGAGGTAAACTCATGTCAAGGGACACTTCCACGGGAAAGCAGGCCTTAGCCTGCAAGTCCCAACTTCCAAGACAATGAGCAACACTGCAGAGATCCTGACAGGGCTGATAATCTTGCTTGTAATTTTGACTGTGAGGGAACCAGAAAGGAGACTAGGTTAAAAACAGAAGCCTTTGAACTCGTAGGAAAAGACTAGCAGTCATACAGCTTTTGTTAGTGTTAGAGGGGAGAGCTGATTTATACCTGTCTGATGGTCTAATTAGTGGCAATTATTAATGGGGAGTTGCTTCACTTCAGTGAACATACTTCTAAGGCTGACATTAAATACCTGCCTCTCTAATCAACACAAAACATGCTCTTCAGAATCATCTCGACCCACTTTCACCTCTGGAATCAATAAGCATTTCTCAAGAAAGTGCTGCCTCCTGTAATGGAAGGGGTGAACTCCCTCCCTCAAGCTCTGCCGTTGCTAATTTCAACCACGAGAGCAGAACCTTCCTGGCTTAATTACCTCCAAAAGGCCTTAACTCTTGCTTCAGTTTCAAAAGCATTTTGAATGAGTGTGTGTGCGTGGGTGTGCATGTGTGCACGCGTGCACACGCCTGCACATGTGTTTGCAGCTTCATTGCCTGTGCATGCTTGAGAGGGCCAGAGGTGGATGTTCGGTAGGCATCCTCCTCTATTGCTGTCTGCCTTATTCCTTTGAGTAAGGGTCTCTCACTGAACCTGAAGCTTGCTGTTTTTCTAAGCTGGTGGCCAGTGAACCACAGCCATCCTCCTGCCTTGATGACCTCCAGTACAGGGGGTTACAAGCAAGAGACAGGCACAGAAATTACAGGGACACTCAGCCACACCCACTTTTCAAAGTGAATTTTTGAGGGCACATAAATGAATCTCTAAGATTCATTCATTATCTAACAAATAGAACATTTTAAGATAATTTTATTACACAAGACAGATTATTTTTATAAACAAATTTTTAAAAATTCTCTCCCTGTACAGCCCAGACTGGCCTTGAACTCTAAATTTGCCTGTGCCTTCAAAGGACTGAAGTTACAGATGTGCACCACAATGCCTGTCTATCAACTTACTTTTAGTTGTTTGATTATTAATTCACAGGAACTAGTTATTTGTTTTAATAGCTTCCAAGAGTGTTACAAAGGGAGGCTCAGATTTAGCAACTTTCAAGCAGTAGGGATTTTCAATCATGGCATGGAGTGTAATCTTGAAAGGCTGACCCACTTAGTGTACAACTCACATTATACCAATTGGCAGCTCTGGGTTTTACCTACATATAAAATCAGCCCCTTTATGGATTCCATCTCCATGGATTAAAAACAATATAAGCATACACATGAAAGGCTGAGCTAGCACAAGCCTACATTAATAAAACAGCATTTGCTTGCATACGAATGCATTTCTGTGAGTACTTCTGTTGCATTAATTGAAAAGAGAAGCCTGACTCATGTTCTATATACATTTGATAACAAAAGCCAACTGTAGTAGGAGCAGTTATGTTACCTTCTTTGGGAATTATGGCCTAAAGATCTCTTAGAGCCAAAAAGAAGAAATTGTTAGCTCTTCCTCATGGCTGAGATCATAATGGAAGTCACAAATGGTGACCTCTGGATGACCCAGGTGGGACACTATTGTACTATTCATTCCATAGCAGATGGGCTGCACAGCAAACACCGACATTCTGATGGAAGGAAGGTCAGTGCCATGGCCAGTCATTCCCCCTGTTCAGTGGCACAGAGTTCTGAACACGCTTGTTTCTGAATTCTTCGGCTACTGATACTTTGAAAGAGTAATGGCAAAATTTTTCTCTGTCTTTCTGTTTAGAAATACAATTTTCTTTCCCCTTATTGTCAGCTCAGCTTACGTAGCATTAGAAGCTCTCACTTCACTTTGGCTGTTTGCTACCTGCTGTGGGATGCTCTGTATGCCCCGAATGTGTTGCTCTGATTGGTTAATAAATAAAGTGCTGATTGGCCAGTGGTCAGGTAGGAAGTGTAGGTGAGACAAAGAGAGAGGAGAATTCTGGGAACAGGAGGGCTGAGGGGGAGACTCCAGCCTGACATCTAGGGAGCAGCATGTAAAGGCAACAGGTGAAGCCACGGAACACATGCCGACTTATAGATTAATAGAAATGGGTTAATTTAAGATATAAGAACTGGATAGTAAGGAGCCTGCCAGGGCCATACGGTTTGTAAGTAATATAAGCATCTGAGTAATTATTTTATAAGTGGGCTGCGGGACTTCGGGAGCTTGGCGGGACTGGAGAGAAACTCTCCAGCTACAGCTACCCTTGTGAATTAATAATTATTTAGCGTTTAAAGGCCAACTACAACACAAACCCGCCTTTAGTGACAGCTCAGGCAGCTGGTTTCTGTCTTTACTTTCCCTCTGAGTAAATGATCAGAGCTGTGCTTCTTGGAACACACAAGATCTCCTCCAATAGTCTTTCTCTCATAGACTTTCTATCTTCTCTCTCCTTTTTTCCCTTCCTTCTCTTTTATTTTACTTTCAATCATGTGTATATATATGTGTGGTTGTGTATAGATTGATGCGTGTGCTCAAAGAGGGCAGAGGCATAAGATCTGGAGGGGCTTCCTGCTGCTTCTCCCCCACCAACCAGTCATGGCTCTAACTGAGAGATGATATAACAGCTCGGGCCAGGCGGGACCGGAGAAACCTTCTGGCTACACCCTGGAGTCACAGGAGGTTGTAAGCCACATGGCATGCATGCTTGGAACTGAACTTCAGTCCTCTGCATGAGTTTTGCT